TAATTTTTATTTTTCAGTCTTTTTCCATTTTTTTCTTCAGAATATTATATATAAATATTATATGTCATGAGAAAAACAGCTAAATTTCTGTATATTGTACCAGCAACATATAGAGCTATATGATCCATTCAAGATACCATGGTATGAAAAAAAGTGGAGGAAATCTGAGATACCATAATTATTAATGGTGATCAAATGAGGCTGAAGGTTTTTTTATGGGCATCAAAATGTTGACAGTGGGCAATTTTAGAAATTGATTTTTTTTTCTGAAATGTGACTGCAGAAATGTTATAATTTCTTGGATTTATTGGAAGAGATATGACAGGTTTGCGCCAAGCCCTCTTTGTGGTTCACAATTAAGCCGCATGACCTGCCATTTGTGAATTCTGGCCCTAATGACTGCATAAATATATTAAGGATTGATTTCTTGGACATTTATGGAGTCTCCTAGTCAAATATAGCTCAGAGTGTTGTCTGCAAGAGATACATCTTTGGTCTGGTCTATTTATGTGAAGCAATGTTTATTTGATTTAACCTTTTACTTAAAATGAACTCTGTCCAACAAAACCATTCTTCAGGAAAATTTCAAAATTTTTACTTTAACTTAACAGCAAACATTTTAACAGTGCAAAGCACGGCTGTGCTGGCTGATCTTGGTTGGTCTGTAACTGGTTTCATTGGTAGTTTCATTCACTATCACCAGACTTAAAGGGTTTTAGGTATTGCAGGTTAGGTATATGAATTGTCATATGTGCAGAACACCATGCAGCAGTAAGACTTAGTCAGTGACTATAATGTTTTGCCTGGTTTGATGCTGATTGTAACACCTCTTTTAGTCATCTCTTGTTGTTCACCCAACTGGCTTATGTGGATAAATAACCTGTAATTACGAATTTCTCCACTTGTGACTCACTGAAAATAGTCAGTCAGTGCTGAGATGCAATAACCATTAGACTCAATTTTCCAGCACATCGAGGATCGAGTTGTCACAGAGAAATTTCCATTTGCATGAGGATCAAACAAGCTACCCCAGGATTACAAAACAGACAGATGCTCTCTGTATTGAGCTTAACAGTTGGACACATATGCCAGTCTAATTGTTTCAAGGGTCCAAGACATTCATTGGTTTAAAAGAAATGAAATAGCATGCATGTTATGTAATGTTTGAAAATTTGTATGTCCCATTTTCGAGAATAAAATTTGCGGAATATAAGTTTAATTTAAAAACTTGTACGAGATGACTTAACCTAATTATATAGGGTGAGAAATGTCTCTCATATATTTTGCTTTGGCTTGAAAATTATAGGCATAAAATATTTTTTTTGCAAAATTAAAGAAAATGACAACATTTTAAATGTCTGATGACATCTTCAAATTATTCAAAAGAACAGTTTTATCTCTGCATAATGTAAAGGAGGATTAAGTGAATTGTTTATTTAGCTCGAAAGACTTCATCGTATTTCTACCCTGTACGCTAAATAGGTGCTAAATTTCATAAAAGACGCTATTAAACTTATACAAATATGTTCATTCACAAATAAATCGGACAATATTTAAATTGGTTCTTAAGTGGCTGAAGTATTTACCTAGTATTATGTTACATTAATAGCTGAAGTACAATACCCGTGTACCCGTATCCGATAGACATAATGACGTTTTTTGTTATATTAATTGCGGAAAGGCGGGATAACATTTTTTGTCATCGACCAGATTACAACTTGAGAGACCTATCACTCTGGTTAGAACAATGTTTTGAAGATTCTTTATTTTCAAATCCTCGTTGTAGGCCGAGTCGTATTTTTCCGTACCATCGATTTTGAATTGAGAGGTTTGTAGTTGACGAGCATTAAATCTTGCCGTTTGACAGACTCCCTACTAGCAAATGCTGAAGTGTCGTTTCATCAGGGATCGGGACATTGACGAAACATAGCTGGCGGTCCTCGATTTGTTCCCATCTAATACACAATAAGGGCTATTGTGGGTCTCTGAACCAAACAAAGCTGGTTAAATCTTGGTGACTTTGACAGGCTGATTCACAGCTTCGTAAATTTAGCCCCTGGACAAATTGCGTTCAGAATGGTTACAGTTAAAGTAGCTAGATTTTTTTTTATAATATTAAGAAAAAATGAATGATGAAACAATGTCAAGCAAACTTAAGTAGAAAATTAATCAATCCCAAGATTGGATAGTACTTTAAAATGGGGCTGTTTTCTATTAAAACAAATTTTAATTTAATTTGCACATTTCTAAGTAATTTAATTAGTTTATGAAAATGAATGTACTTTTCAAGTAAAAAATATCTCGTAAATGTTGTATTGTTTAGGCTGTGAAATTTGCAAACTTGGAAGAAATATTTGAATTTGGTTCTTTAATACAAGTCTTAAATCATAAAAGAGTTTGGATTTTCCAACTTCTCTTTAAGTAAGGCAATAGTATTGTAGTTAAATGAAGGATTTCATTAAATTCGGTGCATGTAACCAGCTTAAAATATCATGTTTTTAACATTTCATTGTGTGGTCTATGTCGTATTTTGAGAACATAACACACTATTAGCGAAGCATTCAATATTTGTTCTGAAAATGGTCTTTATCATGCAATTGTCTTCAGTCAGACAATTTATGATTCATTTGTGTCATTTATTTTCTATGAACAATCGACCAGTATCTTAATTATACGGCTAGATCCTTATTATTCAATCTCTAAGTGTGTATGTATACTGTAAATAATTTTTGATAAAGTATTATCGTTTTTTTCTATTGGTCAAGTCTTATTTTTTTATAGTTAATGACTCACCACCTTCATGTAATCTTCCAGTATATGGTGTTTATGATGTTAGTTTCCTCATACAGTGAAAAAGTGTAAGATCTAAATCTATATAATGAATGGTCTCTAACCATGGTCAGTAACCTTAATGACCATGGTCACACCATGGTCAGAAACCATGTTTGCGGCCATTTAACATAACACGGTCAACCATGGCTAACCATGACCTGTGAGCCATGTTAGTTCATGTTATTTCATGATAAAACATGATACATTTCACCTGGGTTCTATGACTCATATGATGATGTCATGACCAGTAATCACAGTCATGACATAATACAGCGCCCCTTCAGCCGGGAACTCACGCCAGACACCAGACAGGTCAATGTGGTGGTTTACTTTGGCACCACAATGGCCAGGGATAATTGTTTTTTACCTTTCTGACTGTCTCCTCAGGTAGTAGCAAAGTGGCTGTTGGGGTCAGAGGTGGTGTCACAAGGGGCATGGTTACAGTTGACAAGGACATATGAATTGTACTTACTGTACTGTAAAATATTTTACTTCAGAGAAATATGGATTATTTGATGTACAATGTATTAATGTATATCATTATGCTATGTTTTATTTAATCACATAATTATGTACTGCAGTGCTTATGGCTATAATTATAAGCTGAAGTTTTCAAATCTATAAATAGTAACATTGCTAAATTACTACCTTGAAGAATCACTTGCTTCTTTTATAACAGAATCCAATTTCATCTGCTCTTCATCATGCATCACAAAGGGGTATTTTAGGCAGGTGTCTTGCAAAAGTTTGACAGCACTTTTCATGACTTTCTACTGACTTACTTATTACATTGAATTCAGTTTTCTTTTAAGTGCTGTAAATAGACATTCTATGAATTAAAGTTATTTGTTCTGGATGATAGTCACATAGAGTCACAAGCAGCCAGCTATTTCAAATGTGGTGATATTTCTCCACACTGAAATACAAAAGTACAAATGTACATGTTTAATGAAGAAGAATCAAATTTTTATTTGATATCTAGCTTAAATTTTAAGCTTTAATTTCAAGAAGTGGTAATATCCAACTACTGGTATAAGTCAACGAACTAGGACCTAGTATGATCTGATTTCTGCATAATAATTGTATGCTGTTAGAGTATCATAATAGAATGTTTCAAATCAAGGCTAAGAAAATCAGTTAATCAAATTGGTTTGAATAATCAAGGTTCTTGCAAAGCACTGAATATGTGTTTTTTTAAAAGATTTTGAAGATATGACATATTATTCTTAATGCTATATGTGGTGGTGAATATTTTCTGCTCTTATGTAACGTGTCAGACAATATTTGAGCAAATTTTGATTTTGAAGATATGACATATTATTCTTAATGCTATATGTGGTGGTGAATATTTTCTGCTCGTATGTAACACAGACAATATTTGAGCAAATTTTAATCTGTGGCGAGTCCATCCAAGGGGTCCAGTGGGTGGCGCAATATTCCCACTTTAAAGCATACTGTATTAGCCATATAACAAGTAGGTTCTTTATTGTTCATGTCTAAGATGTTGTTGGTGACTGCAATTTTTTATGCATCAGATTGTCATTTGATATTCAATAAACAGGGAAATCTTGAGAAGTGCTTAAAGCCAAGAATTTAAGACTTTTCATTATTTTCTTAGGACAGATTTCGTGATTTAAGCAGATTATGGCTTGGAGCAGATAAATTCAATTTGAGTAGGAATTTCAGGCACATGTCTGGCATTGATTGGGGGAGATTTTACTGTTTTTAGTGGGTGACTTTGACAAGGGGATAATTCAAGAATTAATGGACACACTTATAAAGGAAATTGATGATGGTACAAAATATGAATGTCAGACAATTTTAAAAAAAACCCCGCAGTTTCACACTTTGACAAATTATATTATATTCAATGAAAAGAGAAAATATGTCCACCTTTGTGATTACAAAATGAAGGCCAATTCTGGTAAATCACTACTGAATGTCACTGGTATTAATGGCCGCTGATTCCTTTAAGTCATGTACATAGAAAAAAGCTGTGAACAATGAATTCATGACCTTTAACCCTTAACTATATATCATATACATATATATGTAAATTGTATTATAATGCAGATGGCAGTAACATTAAAAGCAAAGTTTCCCAATGACATTATCTTTTGTTTATATGTCTATTTAAAAATAAAATTTTCCTTTTTGTCTATTTTCAGATTATATGGCTGGTCAAGACTGTGATTCAACTATTCTATTAGGAGGTGCAGTGGTGTATTCACATTATATAAACCAGTCTAAATCGTACAATAATGAAGTGAATTGTCAAATTAAGTTTAAATCTAAGAAAAGTGACTGGAAAATAATGCTACGGATGTTAGAAATGGATATTCCAGACAGACAGAAAAATGGAATATGTAATGATGCATTATATGTTTCCGATTCAGATAAAATGTATCATACTATGGTAAGTGCTTACATTTTGTATTTTAGCTATATTATAACAGAAGGACAACAGTGGCCAAGTGGTTATTGTTGCTGTTACTTCTGGTCCTTCACGATCATTGATCCAGCACATTAAGTGTTGAAGCCTGTGCAAGGGGGCATGAGATATGTTGCACTTTTCCGTTATCTCTCATGAACAGACTCAAACAAACTGAGTCTACAATTTTCATGTAATTTGGTTGTTTTGATTGCTTCTGAGGGATCTCCATTTTCTAAAAATTTTTTTTTGGGGGGGGGGGGGGCTTTTAGATTTACCCTTGTCCGTCCGTCCTTCTCTGTCCGTCCTTGCGTCCATCTGTTCTCTTTTGTGTCACACGCAACTCAAGAAGAACTTGACCTAGAGTCATGAAACTTAACAGGAATGTTGATCAGCATGTGCAGTGTTGATCAGCATGTGCAGTTGTGCACCTGGGTATTTTTGTGTGGATTTATTCAGTATTTTTAGAGTCATTGCCCTTGACTTAGTAAAATTTGCAATTTTCAACTTGTGTGGCATGTAACTCAAAAAGTATTTGACCTAGAGTCATGAAACTTTACAGGAATGTTGATCAGCATGTGTAGTTGTGCACCTGGGTATTTTCATGTGAATTTATATACATGTATTGTAGTATTTGTAGAGTTTTTGCCCTTGACTTAGTAAAATTTTGCAATTTTCAACTTGTGTTGCATGTAACTCAAAAAGGATTTGACCTACAGGAATGTTGCTCAGCATATGAAGTTGCGCACCTTGGGTTTCGCTTGTGGATTTATACAGTATTTGTAGACTTATTGCCCTTGACTTAGTAAAAAACGTTTCATTATGTTGACTGTTATTTGTTCCTTGAATGCTTGAGTTAGAATCAACCAACTTTACAGGAATATTGATCAACATCACTGTTAAGCTATGCACCTGGGACTTTGCATGTGGATTTTTTTCAGTTTTGTTAGAGTTATTGCCCTTGACTTACAGTATATAAATTTGCAATTTTCAACTTGTTCATGCATAGCTCAAAAATTATTTGACTTGTAGGCCTGAAAGTTTACAAAAATGTTGGTCAGCATGTGTACTTATGCACCTTGGGGTTTGCTTGTGGATTTATTCAGTATTTGTAAAGTTCCGGCCCTTTACTTAGTAAAAGATTTTTAGTTTTCAACTTGTGGCACATGTTGTCCAAAAAATATTTGGCGTAGAGTCATAAAATTGACAGAACAGTGGCGTGTGGGGGCACCCGTATCCTATGGACACATTTCTAGTTTACAATATATTCTGAAATAATTGTGATCTGTTCCATCCTTAGACTTTTATTGTAACTTCTTTAAATATTGTTTCAATAAATATGGCTGAACTGTGCTCTAGTAAATTCAGTGTGATGACTCAGAGTAAAAACTACCACCACCACCACCACAGCTTTTATTAGCTGCTTAAATATTGTTCTCATTCAACAGGACTAATTGACCATTGCCTAGAAATGTTTTCAACAAATATTTCAAGTTAAACTGAAAGAAAGATAACCGGCAAGCTAAACATGCATTTTAAACGGCTTTACACCAATGTAGAAGTTATGTTAACAAATTCAAGACAGGAGGAGTTGAACTTTTTTAAAACAGCTAAAATTTTTATAAATTCAAGCAGAGCATAATCATTTCAGTACTCAAATTCAGTTTGTATCACAAGTTTCATGTCAAATTTTCTTAATATCGTCAACCTTCTTTTATTATGAAATTAGGTTAATTTTGGAGTGAATAAAACAACTTCTGACAACAGCCAGACCAAAGTTTTATAATAATTTTAATTAAAATAACATTTCATCTAATTTACTCATCCAGATAAAACACCCTTATAACATGGTTCTTTTATAGTTGTCAAAATTTGATATTATTATGTTGAACTCTAGACTTGACCTTGCCTCAGATCTCAGTGTCCAAGATATGTAATCTTGTTAATTGAATCCTTATTATCTGTCTCGTGCCAGACTGGACAACCTGCCGACTGATTTCTGTGTTATTATTTCTGTAGGTAATTGTTTGATTGCCTCCAATCAATGGCTATAAGGAACACCAATAAGAACACCAATAAATCATCAACAATAAATCAGCATAGACAAAGTCTCTAGCCATGTGCTTGTGTGTGCCAACACATACAATTGCAGCCTTTTTATATGCTGACAGTCTTTATATGAATGATAAATGGTCTCTGTGAAATCATGACAAAACATAAACACAAGGCCTGATCTTTACTTTAACTTGGCACATGTTTTCTTAGTAACATCTTGATTTATGATCGTAAAGTCTAGGAGGCAGCCATATGGCAACAATATTACCCATAATCCAATTGTGTGATGCAAATTCATAAGGAATGGTATTTTGAATTGATTACAATGTTTTGAATGGGTAACAAATATTTCATTTTCACAGGGTTTTTCTGGTTTCTCTATAAAAGACCAGTCTGTAACAATGGTAGGAGAATGTTAAATGTTTCCGTTACTTGAACAATCAGTGATGAATGGGTCCAAGATATTTCATTGTGTGTATAAAATCACCAAGAATGATATAGTCTGTAGATAGGAAAATTATAAAATAAATTGCTGGGTAAATTTTAATCAAGTAGGAAAAATTGACAGGAAATGAAATGGATGAGGGAGGCAGTTTTTTACCTACCTGAGTGTATTCTAATATTAACAAAATATGTATATCGTGCAAAGAAAAAAGAAGCCAACAAATTTGAGGAAATTTAAAGAATATTTTCCTAACAGAATATCACATTTTTAAGTCAGGATAAGGCTCCCACGTTTACAATTTTTTGTAAACATTTACACGATTGCTAAGAACCGAAACGATACCGTTTAAACGGTGGTACCTCTATGTACTATACACACCATGTATTTGAGTCGCCAAATGATGTCTTTCTTTCTATTTTTAATACATGTACAAATAAAGAATGTGCAGGGCTCATCACGATTGAGTCAGCACACATTTTTTGCATTGTAACCCCATAATGCTGTGTGGAGGGTTGTAAACACCCATTTTCCGTTTGTTTACTTTGGAATAAACCACTAGAATTGATAAAATCCATGATTACAGGCAATGATTAAGAAATTTTGTAAGACAATACAGTCATTTCGATTAAATGGTAAACTGAATATCGTAAACGTTTATGAATGAAAATCGAAACGAATCCGTTTAAACGTGTAATCGTGGGGGCCTTAGTCAGGATATGACTATTTGTGATGATTCAAGGTGTCCATGAGAATTTATATTTTATATTAATGCATACTTTAATTCTCTAAACTTTTTTTAAATTACTGAATTCTAAGGGCTAAGTAATGGTTATAAATGGTAGTTAATATTTATGCAGTTCAGATATTTTAAATTTTTATGCATGAATTTTGTAAGAATATTGAATTACTGAAATTATCAGTTAGCGCTGGCTGTAAAATAAAAACTAAGAATAGAATATGATCAAATATAAACATTTCATTGAACTGATACTTTCTCTCCCATCCAGTGTTGTGTAAGTGTCAATTATTAAAGCTAATATGTTATGTTTTCCATTAATCATTAAAGCTTTAAATCTACACACCAGTAAAGTTGTGTCATAAGTGTCAATTATTAACAAAGAAATGTTATGTTTTCCATTAACCTCAAAGTCTTAAATCCACACAGCAGCCGAGTGATGTCAAGTAGAAATGCATGTGTTTTCCATGTTCAGATTAATTTACCAGCAGTAAAAGTGAAGCATATAATTTCTTCTATTTCAATGTTTATTCCATTATGAACAGCTGTATGCAGAAGTTTTATGATGGTATTTCCATGCCAATGAAAACTACCTGTTAGCATTGAAAACGGAGGAGATTATAGATAAATATGAATATAAAGAAAATGGATGAGTGGTGAAAAATAGGACTGAGTGAAAAAAACATTCTAGAAGATGATTGAAATATTATTAGTTATAAACCCTTCAAATTTCATTAATGGACTTCCTTTATTCTGAATTTGAAACTGTTCATTGGTACTGTAAGAACTGGTAATACATCAAAAAGCTCAAATCTTATACCTAACAGTATTGGCACCACCTGGTTTATGCACAATTGTCACAGTGTTGGACTGTGAATTGGATGACCTGGATTCAATTTCCGGACATTGCAGGTCACTTCTTTACAATTGATCATTAAATCCTTTCCATCAGGTCATTTGAATTGTACCTCTGGTCAGGCTATTAATGTACAGGAGTAACTAGCAGTTCCTTGCAAAAGTGAAAGCATCTGGTACTTGACAACCAGCCCAGGAACAATACGGTGACTTAACTTTGTCTTGGTGTATCCTAAATGGATACTGCCTAAGCTAATAATGCCATGATCGAGAGGGTAAACTACAAAAGCCACCACCACCTAATGTTATAAATCGAGTCAGACTGTATGGCATGGCTGTTATACAGGACTGGTGTCAAAGGCGTCTCATTTATTACTACTAGGAGGTACCTTGTCGAATTAAAAAAATCACAGAAGAATTATTTAATATAGGTCAGTCACCCTTTAAGACATTACTGGGCGACAGCTGAACCATCATGGGTGCTAAGTTTGATTTCTGAAGAAGATTAGTTCTATATATATCTACAGTAATGTGTGGAAACTCTCCATCTTTAATGATTCCTAGAATCTGGTTGCACCTTCATTGACATCAATATTTATAAATGTACAGAGAAAATTTGTCTTGAAGACTTGCTGTCATAGGTCACAATTTTATGACTATTGCATTATATTATCAGTCCATTAGGTATGTACCCACAGAGATGTTGCTCCACTAATAAGCATTAGTTGCATCAGTTGGTTTAAAGAACACAATCATTAAGTCAACATAACTTGCACTTCTGACAGTTTTTGTAAGATAGTCTAATCCTTATTACATATTAAACAACTATTTTTGTGTCAATTTACTTTTTCCAATTACCATATTTGTTGATAAATAACAGTTTTTGTGTATTTTTTGTAAATTGACTATGATTGTCAATAGGTAGTATACATTGTAAGTAATATAATGATGTTCAAACTTAGTTACAGAAGTCAGTTGTTTAACTGTGGACCTCTTTGAGTCTTTGATTTTGTTTGAAAAAATGAAACAAGCAGGCTGGCATCCACTAGTTATAAAGTTGGGATTAAGATGGCTATGATACTATTAAGCAAACTGTGTAGATATTATCCAAACCAAACATTTGTTCAAATTTCAGAGATACATACATATACATATACAATTGTATAATATTTAATTGCTAACACATTATATTTCAGATTGAAGCTGGAGGTAACTTTGGATTATGTGGGAACCAGCTTCCATCAACTATTTATTCCTCAGGACAATATTTAACAGTTCATTTTAGGTAAGAACACAATGTCATATTCTCATTCATTTATTTATAAAATTTAATGTATTAATCATTAATATGGCATTAATCATCTGATAATGCTCCTGCCCCAGAGCTTAATAACATCAATGGAATACTGTTAAAATCTTTACAAATCTATATATGGCTGAAAAGCTGTCACAGATCTACTTACATCTGTAACTCAGAATACTGTAACAGAACTGCATAACTGAAATACTATAACAAAACTGCATGCCTTGTTACAAATCTACACAACTAAAATACTGTTATAAAAAGCGATGCCTTGTTACTATGTTGCATGGATAAGATACTGTTACAAAACTACATAATGAAATACTGTTGCAAATCTGTGGTGGAAATACTGCATGCCTTGTTACAATGTACTGTTACAAATATACACAACTGATATACTGTTACAAATCTACATGACTAAACTACTGTAACAAAACTACATGACTGAAATACTGTTACAAATCTACATGACTAAACTACTTTTACAAATTAGGATGACAGAAATGCTGCTACAAACCTACGTAACTGAAGTACTGTTACAAATCTACACAACTGATACATTGTTACAAATCTACATAACTGATACATTGTTAAGCAAATCTACACAACTGATACATTGTTACAAATCTACACAACTGAATGATACATTGTTACAAATCTACACAACTGATACATTGTTACAAATCTACACAACTGATACATTGTTACAAATCTACACAACTGATACATTGTTACATTAAGCTGACATGATGACTGAAATACTGTTACAAAACTACCTAAATGTGAAAAACTGTTACAATAATGAATTACTGGTGATGTAATGATGCAATGATTTTAAAGTGGCACTGATGGGTGATTTAAATATTGCTGTTATGATAAATAGACTGCATTTTATACCAGATTGTAATAGCCAAAAAACCTAATATCTAGGGATGATTTGTAGTGTATTAACTAGAGCAGCTTGTCAGCTTGTGTATGAGATATTATCTCCTACTGATATCTCATTTAGAGTGATGCTTAGGCATTTAAATGTCAGGATTGTGTAACTTGATAGCATTTCAATGATTTTATCTGTATATAAAATCTTCATTGAGGGATTAAATATTTTAGGTGGGATTTTGTTACCAGAATGATTACATGTTATTTTTGTATAAATTGTAAAGTTGATGTTTTATTTCATTTTGACTAACTATATTTATTATTGAAACTCTTTGAAGATTTGATATAGACTGGTCTAGTGGTGGTGGTGTGGTGTTGTTGGTAGTTTAACGCAAGTAAGTCACATTAAATTTACCAGAGCACAGTTCCACATTGTTCCAAGCAGTTTATCAGTACTAGTTGCATTCAATCCCTTCACTTGATAACTCTGTAAGTGCCTGGGAGCAGAGGTACAGTGCCAATGACTGAAGGAAGGATTTCATGATCAACTGAAACGAAAGTGATCTGCACTATCTGGGAATCTAACCCAAGGTTACCCGGTGCATAATCCAACAGTCTACCGTATTGAGGTAGTTGGATTATATAACCTGCAGCATCTTTGTAGGGCCAGACCTGCCTGCACCTTTTTTGCAATCAACCACAGATTATAGTGTTGGCTTTTTAATTTTAATACCGTGATATTGATATCCCTTTCATCAACAATGGACAAGTTCAAAATTTTTAATGTAACACAAGGAAAGTCTATGACACAAATAAAAATACTTTTGGAAGAATATATGTTAATAGTCAGTTATTAATATCAAAAGGTGTAATTTGGTTTATAATTATAGACTACAGCACACTGTAAACTTAAGGTTATTGCATATTTATGTATATATGGAATACTAATATACTTGTTCTTCTTAACCAGGTTTTCAACGAAAATCAGGTTATTGTAATGCCGAAGTCGGCGGCCGGGCGGGCGGTCGTCAACTTTTGGTTTCCGCTCAATAACTTAAGTTTGCTTTGGCCTATTGACACTAAACTTGGTGTGTAGGTAGGTTATATCAAGAGGCAGCTTTGAATTGCTACCCAGGTGTCTGTGATCAAGGTCAAGGTCACTGCTACTAAAAATAGAAATTCAGTTTCCGCTCAATAACTTGAGTTTGCTTTGGCCTATTGACACCAAACTTGGTGTGTAGGTAGCTTATATCAAGAGGCAGCTTGGGATTGCTACCCAGGTGTCTGTGATCAAGGTCAAGGTCACTGTTACTAAAAACAGAAATTCAGTTTCCGCTCAATTACTTATGTTTGCTTTGGCTTATTGACACCAAACTTGGTGTATTGATAGCTTATATCAAGAGGCAGCTTGGGATTGCTGATCAAGGTCAAGGTCACTGTTACTAAAATAGAAATTCAGTTTCCGCTCAATAACTTGAGTTTGCTTTGGCCTATTGACACCAAACTTGGTGTATATATAGCTTATATCAAGGGGAAGCTTGGGAATGCTACCCAGGTATCTGTGATCAAGGTCAAGGTCACTGTTACTAAAAATAGAAATTCAGTTTCTGCTCAATAACTTGAGTTTGCTTTGGCCTATTGACACCAAACTTGATGAATGGGTAGCTAATATCAAGAAGCAGCTTGGGATTGCTACCCAGGTGTCTGTGATCAAGGTTAATGTATTTAGTTTTCATGTTATAACTTGAGTTGGCTTTGACCTTTTGACACCAAACTTGCTGAGTGGCAGCTTTGGATTGCCACTTAGATATCTGGGAGCAAGTTCAAGGTCATTTGCTTACAATAGAATTTTCAGCTTCTACTCAATAACTTCAGTGCACTTTGATCTATTGATTGCTGTCACATCAAAACTTGGTTGTTGAAAACCTGGTTTTCGTGGCATTGCGGCGCTTCTTGATAATATTATAGCCTAAGACTTGTTAATATTATCACTGCTTTGACCCACAGCCGCCAATAGAACAATGATACCTGAATTTGATCAGGAATTATACAGTATCAGGAATTACAATTATCATTTTGCATATTTTATAAAGTAACAACATTATGTTAACCCATAACTTTTATAAATACATATGAAAGATGGAATGCAAACTGTGAGATGTAACAAATTATCTGTACAGTTGTTTTGAAACGAGGAAGTAAAATCCTTTGTAAATCATTTTGATCCCCATAACACCATGGGTGTTTTATAAAGACCAGGTGCTTCCTGTAAAAATAAACCTAACATCTCAAACTGGTGAAAGTTGGAATACAGATTAGATCTTCACTTTTATGACCTAAATAACAGACACTTAAAGTTTCATTGGTTATAATATAATTTAAAACAAAAAAAAAATATGTACCAAATTACAGTTTAGTTTCCCATTATGATGATTCATTGTCGTGATTGGAAAGCACCTGTTTCTAACATCTTCGGATTTTGGTTTTATTTCAGTATTATGCACACTGACAGTTAATCAACCAGGTGTACTCAGAATTATTTTCTGTATTTTCTGTACCAATTCTTTAGCAATGACAGTTCTTATTCTGCGCAAAAGAAAGTTCAATCATGACATATACAATGTACTTATAGTTGTGATGTGCTGAATTTCTCAAATGGAAATGAGTTTCCAATTGTTTGGAACTGTCCTTTATCATGTTTAGGGATATCAAGATGAAAATTTAAAGTTTAAGTCAGCCAACAGTCAGACTGCATAAATGTGCAGGCAAACTTTGCTCTAATTCTGTTGGCTTAGGCTTTTGTTTTTTTATATTTTGAAAAATGATGATTTTGTAAATACATGAACGTAATTATTTATAAATTGGGTTAAATAATTAACAGTTTTATTTGTTGAATCATTTTCTTTCATCAATTTTTCTACTCTGAGCCATCAGTTTATTAAGATATCTTTGTGCCCTCTCTTTTTCGATCCAAGTTAGCTTATTTTTTCTGAGATTATTTTCAATTGAACACTGACAGTAACAATATTATTTTATTTGAATCATCACCAGATGTTAGTTGCATGTTTTTGCGATGCTCGGTCTGAAAATAACTAAAAAACTACACATCCTGGAATGTTGCATGTCAGGAAAATAAAAACAATCTCAGATGCACGTCAGGAATAAAACGAAAAGAGAAAAAGCTATGAAAAGCTCTGCAAGTTGCCAAAACAAATGTTTTAATGGAAAAATTATGCTCCGTTTGTTTTTGAAATGTAGTTCCATTTTGTAGCAAACAATCATAAGCCATTAATTAATCTCCTCCTTATATTTGTTTGATGTAAATGTCTTGATAAATAAAACCATGGGGTTGTAAAAAAATGTTATGATTAATGTAAGCAGAGGGAAAAATTATAACATATGACAATTTAGAAGTTTGTAGCGATTCTGGTCCCAGCTGTCAATATAAGCTACCTATATCAGTAAGTTAGAGAAAATTGCCATTAATTGTTGAAAACATAAATGAATATGGGTTGACCATTGTAATAAGGCGGATGTTTGAAAACAGAGTAGATTGATTGATATATCTGTATCTGGGCTTTTGCTTCATTTTATTTAATATCATAATTATATAGGGAAATAAATTCATTTTGTTGAAATTTGTTTACATATGTGTTGAAACTAAATTAAAGTATAAAATATGATACATATGAAATAGAATCCATGTATGATTCATTTACTTTTTTCCATATAGCAAAAGCATATATTACATGTATATATGACAAAAATTTTGATGTTGCTTTTGTATGGTCCCATTGGCATTGCAGTTAAAGCCAGTTACAGTCACTAATGGCCCTCACTGATGTGGGTTCATTATGACCATTTGGCTTTGTAGTGAAAGCCACCTTATTGCTTTGGCCCACATTGCATGTAGGCTCAATTCTCAAAAGGGAATTGGCAAATTTTTCTTGTTTAGGGGGCGATTTTGCTTTTGTTTATAGTTACAAACTATCCTGGAAAAGATCATGACCATTGGTTCTCCACTTGTGCCTAAAATAATTCATAGGGCTTATGGCATTGTCGGCACAGGTGCTAGTGGCATTGATTTGACCTAAAATGTGTTT